CCAGGCACTTTCAGTCAGTTTCTGCTGTTTTTTTTACTCTCGAGCAACTTTGGCTCGCATTTTTGACCTCGGATAGGGTTTCAGATTCTGGCATATCTTGTTTTCTGTTTCGCGCATTTACCCCTTTCGTTTATTACCCCTAAACTGGTCGATAAACTATCTCCTCGGCTTACTTCAACTCCGAGGTAGAACACAGTCATGGCATTGATTTGTGCGTATTCATCAATCGTTGTTAGTAATGTGTATAATTCAAACCACTATCACATTTGATAAATCATGCCTTTCATTTGTATTGGGATGCGGTTTTGCTCTCTGGGGCATTGACTTCCCCTTTGTCATTGATCCACAAACGTGTTTGCACTAACCTGACCCATTCACTTGTCACGTGTCAAGGACATGCTAAAAGAGTCAACTAGTCATCAATATAGACTGACTTTGCTGCAAGTGACCTGGGTTACCTTGACAACTCCTACGGTTTCTAGCGTTCTACGATTTTGTCCAGGGTTAAGCTTTTATCGGTCTATGTTTTCATTCTTTAAAGTGATCTGGTTGAATCGTAGCAAATTGTGGCTAGGATATTTTTAACGTCATCTTGCCTATGATCCCCAAAAGGAAAATTGATTGGAAAAACAACGCATTGGATATACTCCTCGGTGCCCTATCCTTCTCGTTACAGCTTCGAACAGTCAGTCTTTTCAGTAACATAGGATACCGTCAAATAGTCAGTGCCCTATTGCTCGCAAACATCCGGTCATAAAACGGCTCTGTCTTTCTTCTGTGTGAAGCCAAAATTCCTACTATGAAACAATTCGTGTTTCGTCAGACATTGTTGCGTACATTAATTAGTCCTATGCAATGCATGTACATTGCCTCAACAAAATTCAGCTTTTTTACGGACTTGTGAGCTAAAAGGCCAACGCAAAACCCGTTGCAGTGAAGTACTGATTGCATGGGGTAAATATGAATAAACATCTTAGGTGAATAAGGGTGAAGATCCCATTGATACTGTCAAGTTAAAGCATATGCTTCTCAACGTGATTTAGGGGAAAAACAGAAAAATTAAGTTGCATCTCTGATGATATATTTACAGAACTAGTGGTCCACCTGGGCTCAGATACGGAGTTGTCTGCATGTTAGACAGATATGATAACCAGTAGACCACTTGCAGTTTACCGTTCACTGACAATTTGTGGTGCAGTTATTATTTTTCTTCATCGATTTGATTACAGACTCAGCTGTCCTTGTTCAGCTCAGCACATCGCCAGAATCGTGTTGTCGTGAACGCGCGATGTCGTCTCAACTACAGGGAATTGGTTCGCTGGGCCCGATCTCGAGAACGTGATGAAACTAGTGAGACTGATAGTTCGTATGAAAGCATTGACCCCTATCTGCCGCAGTTCTGTTCCGTCCGCTTGGGAGGCTCCCCGCATCATGCTTCTGGTGAAAACGAAACAGCCACTGATCACGAGTCCCAGGACGGGGCGGAAAAGTGGACTATGAACAATATGTTGCATAAATGTGCCTCTCTGATCACTTCACTTGGGTCTAACAACCCCAAAGACCATCCGTCAGGCAACGCGGCGGCCGCTGGCGACCAAGTATCCGATGGTGGCTGTGCGAATACTGCGGTCAACGACAGCATGAACTCAAGCAATCCACCCGATACTGGAGCTCGTAATAGTTCCACTCGAAAGTCTCGTTCAGCATCCAAGGGAGTAGGAGAAAGTGAAATTGATGCAATACGTCTTCGTGAATCTCACTTACCTCCTCTTCGTCCCGGGTCCTGGGCACCTGTCGCAATTTATACTACCTACACCACTTACGATGTGCGATGGCAAGATGGTACCTTTGAACAGAACATCCCGTGTCAGGACTTGCTTCCGGTTTATTTCAATATCGATGAGCATGATTTCTTCCCCGGGTCGTTAGTTTCGCTAAAAAGTTGTAAGTATTGTGTTCGATTTACTTACGGATATTCTCTCATTGAAATTTGACCTTAAGTTAGAGTATATTTTGTGAATCTTTTGAGCAAGGATATGGCTCGTTTAGTGTACCTTTAGTGACTCACTGGGCTTAGAAATCAGATTACAACGTCTAATCACCTATCGAAGTGACATTCACAATGCAGTATTTACATTTAAGGAAGAACATAAGTGTGGACCAATTTTGATTTCGTGTCAAAATCTAACTCTCAGAGCATGTGCACCACAGATGCTGGTTTTCGGTTGTGTTTAAGTGGTTCACCATTCTTCACCCTGCTGCCTGAAACAAGAGTACCTAGTATTGTCTTCTTTTGATGTTAATGTCTTTGATCCTCGAACCCAGATCATCTGTTTCCCCTCTTGTTACTGCTTCTAGTGTGCTTCGGCTTGTACAATCGGTGCACTGATATTCTTCATCGACTTTCTTGGTTGATGGATTACTGTTGCCGTCGTACTGTGCCGGAACAACAAAGGCGGCAGGGATCAAGCAAAACTAATTTGTTCACATCCTCATCACGACATGATCAGTTCTCGCAGCTGTAGAGTAAGATCGCACACAGTAACTTTGTGAACTCGATCTTGGAAGGAAAAGCGGAGGTCAAGTTTACACCAAAATTATGTGGGGTGGAGAACACCATTCTGGCTTCGTCGGTCTTCGTGTGCTGCAGCAACTCGTGGGCGAAACGAAGAGATCGGTGCAGCCTCTTGCCAGTTAAACTGCGTTTCCTTCGATCGGGGGTCACTCTAAACCGCGAGATAGACATTTCTAGCTTGAGATCAGCCGTAGATTATAGCGATGTCTGCATACTCTAAATCATAGAGTCAGTCACCAGGTAGAATAGTTCCATCCCAGAATTGTGGCATTCTCCTAAAACATTTTTTAGAATCTCCTCCCTTTTTAAATTGTACCTGAAGAGTGAAACGGACAGTCTTGTCTCACTCCGCTTCTTATGGTAAACGAAGAGCGCACGGGTTATCTACCTTGGTGCGGCTTGACGGATTACATAGTTCCTAGGTATACTCGTAGATAAGTCTATAGGGCTGCTCTATCCACTGACTGAAGCACAGAGCGTGTCTAAAAATTCGCTAATTGTCAGCTTATTGAACTTTTTGCGGGGTTCGGTGATCTGTGAGTGGAAAATGACCAAACGCAACCTCGTCCGGCACGGAATTCTGCTTGTTCTTGACGGATGTGAAGGTAGTCGAAGCAAGCTAATCCGGGGCAGACAGTTTGTGACTTTTCAGGGGTTGAACTAATGATAACGGGTCTTCGGTGAAATGTTCGTTGACCGTGGAGCACTGGATTTACCAGGATTAAGATAGCGTGGCGTCAATGGTCTAGTGAGTTGTTGTTGAAAGTGCTCCACCCAATGTCTAAGGCGATGTAGATTGCAGATGAGCTCACCTTTCGTTTTTTTTATTATACACCAGTGTGCGATGAAGAGCAGACTGGGCGACCCACATAGTTACAGAGACCTGCTGTTTAGTGGTGGAATTCGACAGCCTAAGC